AGCAATGCTACTTCTATTCAAAAGTTTCTAGACATATAATATGAGCTACAATCTCAAGACAATATTTTTCAAAAGCTACGAGCTGAATATTTTAATAATTTTTTATATATAGATTTTTATATAGTGATTGACAACTCCTTATATAAGATTCCTATAAGGAGTTATCCTTGAGAACACTTTTTTAGGAGGACAAATGTAACCAAAATGTAATTTAAGTATAACCTAAATATATCTGACAGTCTAAATATTTTCTTAATAAACATAACCTAATATAACCTAAATATATCTAACAGTTTAAATTTATCCTAAATTATATCCTAAAAAACTATCTCTAAAAATTTAAGTATCTCAGAGACACTACTAATTAAATCACTTTTTATTCAGGAACAGTTTTTGATACTAGAAAAAAAATAAGTTCATCATTTCAAATCATTAATAATTTAATCAACTTGTTAGATATCGAAAGTTTAAGTCTTAATATAATATTATATAAATCTTGATGAACAAAATTTTTTGAATAGTTTTAAGATCAATGCATTCAAAATTAAGTTTACACTCAAACCTATATTCAGAATATGTATAAGACAAGCTTTTATAAAGCAGGTGTTAATAAAAAAAAATTCAATATAAACAACAAAATTGGAATAGTATTTTATATATAATGATTTGAATAGTTTAAACTAGCTGTAATTTTTGTAAAATTTTTTTTCAATACGGATCTAATACATATCTACTGATTCTTCTATATTTGGAAATTATTAATTAACCAAATGCAGTATATATAAAAAAAAAATGTGAGATATGTAGTAAATTTTAATTTAATCACTATCTATAACTTTTATGTAACAATTTATTTGTATATAAATCTCTTGTTATAATTTAATTTTGAATTCCTGATTTAATATTATTTTTATTCATAGATAAAGGAAGTGATTAACTAATCAAATACAATTATACAATTTAACTTTACCATCATGATTACTAAAATCAAAACTTTTGCTAATTTTATTATTGTTATATTTATTTTTTTTATTAGTCTTTAATGTTAACAATAAATTTTTTATTAGTTTCGATACTCCAGCAAGTCTTTTCATCATTTATAGTACTTTTTTATTATTTTTTGGAGCTTTTTGAATTTTCAGTAGGTCTTTTTGCGATTTCAGTATATTTTATTTTCCAACACATCTTTCTTTGTTATAATATATCTTTCCTTTATTATTATATGTCTTAGCTTCATTGGAGCATAGATTAGAATAGAGATTAGATTTAGGTACTATTAATTCTTGTGTTTTATTAGTCTATTCATTGTGGTATTACTATTATAATGCTTCTCCTATCTCTTCAAGGTTTTTGGATTTCTTTCATCATTCTTTAGTGTTTTTTTGTTAGTTTGTAGATTTTTACAATTTTGTGTTATTCTAATACATCTTACACTTCGGGGTTTTCATATTATATTTGTCATTCTTTAGTCTTTAGATTTTTTCAAGTCTGATGTTTTTTTTTTGTTTTCTAGGAATAATTTTTCTTGTTCATTATTGCATTCAAGGTTTTGATTTCTAAAGCAAATATTATTATATTTCTTTTTTTAGATATGTCTTTAGGTTTTACAATTCTATATTTTTTTTATTATTCTTTAGTGATTTTTTTTTTCATTAGATTTTCTAGATATGACAAATTCAAACTGGAATTGATAAAAAATTTTTTTGTTCTTTTCATTTGGTTTTTTATTTTTGGTATAGGTTCTTTGAGACATCGTAAGAATGTTCAACTAATGATTAGGTTTGGTTTAGATAGTATGTTTTTCTTTTCTTGGTCTTTTTCTTTATATGAATATTAGTTTAGAGTTATCATTTGGAATCAACATTTCTGTCGTTTTTGGATTTTGTATATTACTAACTTTTTTCTTAATTTTTTCTTTTTTTTTTATATTAATTTAATTTTTTTAATTCTTTTTTTTGTAGATATACAAAATGAATTTAGATTTAGGGTTTGGTTTTTTATAATTGTTACTAAAGTTCTTTTCTTTTATTTTATTTTCTAGTTTGTTCTATGTTTTTGTTTTGTTTTGTTTTCTTCGATATCATTCTAACTTCTTTTTATTTCTAAGGCTTTTAATTAATACAAATTTTTGAAGTATATCATATCATTATTATATCATCATCGTAATTATGATATTATAATATAGTAATTAATTGCTGGATTTGTATCTACCCCAACTAAAGAATACACCTTTTTGTGGTAGTTGAGATAAGTAGAGAATTTATTTTTAAAATAAAGTATTCTAAAGCATATTTCATATGGTATTGACTATATATAGCTATAGATGATTTGGTTATTCTGATTTGATTATGAATAATTCTTGTAAAAGGTAATGGGGAGAGCACTACCCTGAGTCTGACCTGGGGTATAACTTACACCTTACTCTGTTGAGGCTATTGTTTAATTTGCATGAGTGAGGATCATTTTAGTATGAGCTAGTACCTATGAATATGTCCTTCACTTTTAGAGTTTCAAGATATGTTGGCTTCCATGTAGCGAGACTTGGTAACTTGCATTTTATGTAAAGCTAACAATATATCATTTTTAAGATTAAAAAAAAAATAAATAAATAAAACCTACAAAAAAAAAAAAATGATTAAAAAAAAAATTATTATATAAATTAAGATAATTTAAATTTGGTTTGATTAATTAATATTTTCTGAGTTATAAACACATAAGTGAAGTAACTCTTGGTATATATTAGTACATAATATGATTGAATTCACTTTATTAGTTATATAAAGTAGAATTTATTTTGGTTTACTCTAAGCCTTTGTTAGATATGAATTGTTGTTAATTTCTGTTAAATCGTGTTTGTAAATAATAAAAAAGTCTAATCAGCTAAATTAAAAAAAATTTGAATTATTTTTAGTTAGTAAACCTCTTGATCAGTTGAGATCCTCGATTAGAGGTTAAAACCAAATTATGAAATTCAACTTCAACTTCAGAAAATAGTAAATTATTTTGTAATGTTCTAATTCAGTTATAACCTTTCAACAAACTGATTTTTAAATTAGCATTCAGTTTTATTTTATTTTCTATCAAATTTTGAAATTACATGTTAATAACAATATATTCAATGTAACAAAAAAATAATTTCATGTTTTTTTTCAGCAAAATATGCCAATTCGTATATAAATCAGTTTTTTTTCATAATCATATTTAAACAATATTTTAATCTTTTTTGCATTCAAAAAAAAAAATATAGTAATTAGAAGTCAATTATTTATTTTAGTGCAATTAGTTAAAATAATGAATCTTTGAATTAATTACTAGCTTTTAAATTTTATTTTTTTTTTTAACTTTTTAGCAATCATGCTACAACTTTATTATAGTAATAGGAACGTCTCTACATTACAATTCCTTAGCTCAAGCTAATACTATTCTAAGTTATAACTCATTTAGTTACCAAGTAGTATCTAAATGCGATCTGCTATACTTAACAATTCTCTTAATATCAGAGTATAAGAACTACATCCCTCCTCTAATATTTTACTGAAACGTATTGATAGCGCATCATGACTACATATTATGACTAATCTTGCTTAAGGAGAACTCAAAAACAAGAAAAGAAAAAAACAAATATAGAGAAAATGAAAAAAGAGAGAGGCTTAGATAGAAAAAATTTATAAGCAAAGCTAATAGATTTTTTCTAAATACTACTCTACTCGTAAAAATTATATAAAATACTAATACTATATTCTATATCTCAAATTTAATATACTTCTTATACTATTAAACTAAATTAGTTACGATCTGTGATTGGCCTTATCACATGTGCTATTAATTTAGTAAATAAAACAGATCATCTGTTTTGTTTATGTGATCTTTTTCCAAAATAGAATAGTAATACGAATGCTAATCCTTTTACAGGAAGTAGCCAAATCTCTACTTTTTACAAAATAAATTTGCAAAAAGTATTCGATGTTGATGTAGAGAGACATCTTATATTTTTTGAGTTATAGAAAGAACCAGAAGGAAGTAGATATGAAAACTCTAACTAGAGTTAAAGGATAGTGGTACTGCTTAACCCAGTCTAAGCAGTTTTGGTAAAGCTTATATTCAGTCTTTGCTTCAGCTATAAGTAAACAAAGAAATACTAAGATCTGCTAAAGTCAGCAGCTTTGCTCTAGTAGGCTACTTACAAACTAGTGGTATTAATATGGTACTAAACTCAAACTAGTTATGAGCTTTATTTTCCACACTGTATAATAATATTTCTTGCTAGGTTATTGTTTTTAAATTTTTATTGTTTCTCCGTATTAGATTTTAGTGATCAGTGGAAAGAGTGTTTTATTAGATTTTGTTACTAGCTTTTAATACTTATAATAAAATTATTTAATTTGATAAAAATAATAAAGTACTTTTCTTATTTTTGGATTTCATTCAAATATTGAAACAGAAAAAAATTACAAATTTTATTATAATGATTCAGATTTATGAATATAAATGTTTTTTTTTAAGACTAGATAATACATACATGCTTTTATGTTACTTGAACTATTTGTTAGCAACTATTGCTTTCGTTCTTAGTTTCTAGTACAACTATATTATGCAGCTATATAAAGTATAAATTAATGATTATTAAATATAGAATAACCAAATGTAGAATAATAGTATATATATAGTATAAATTAGTGATTAACCTAATGTAGAATAATAATGTAATACATATAAATTAGTGATTAACCTAATGTAGAATAGCATGGTTGAAGTTCATTATTATTGGCCGTTTAATTGATCTGATCAGATACTGATCAGATGATCAGATTAAATTTCGATTGGTTAATTAGTGTACTTTTGGTAAAAAAAATCGAAGTTTGCACATCAAATTTAATGAACTAACTTTTTTTAAAATAAAAAATATGAACTTGGTAGAGTATTTTTTTTACTTTATTTTCATATAAAAGTTGTAGATCGCAGTAGATCTCACGTTTTAAAAAGGTTTATTATAGGTAAAATTACCAGCAAAATACTGACTCAAGTGCATTTACAAAATTATTATGGACTTCTGAAATGCCTTCTAGCTCCGTTTGGTCATCAGAATCATCTGCTTCTGGGGTGGACTCTTCCTTGTCTTGTAGTTCCTCATTGGTAAGAACATTCAAACCTTTTTCTAAACATTTAATGAACATTTTTACATTATAATTAATACCTTTCTTGTAATATTCTTCACAATGGTTGCAACCGTAATATAATTCATTATAACATTTATAATGGTATCCGTGACCACAGGTTAAAACCTCTCCTTCATTCAGTATGTTATGGCAATAGTCGCAAGTATTTATAGAAGGTGGAAAACTTGTACTGAACCCTGTAGGTAAGCATTTTACATCTACAACTTGATCTAAAGAAACCAAATGATATAGTGAATATTTTTGTTTTTTGTAAAGTTTACTCTTTCCTTGACTTTTAAATATTTTAAAAAAGTAATCTAAAAGAAATATTGCTGTTTTTTCTTTTAAGGTCTTTAGATTCGATATTGTATATGGATATCGTTTCGTTTTAGCAAAAGCGTTTTTTAATTCACTTTCATTTCGTGAATCTTTTTTATTTATAGAAAAAAATAAATAAATTTTAATTTTTAAATTAATATTTTAAACTATTACTGTTACAATTTTACCAATTGCATAAGCCTCATATATAATATTTTCTGCTGTAACACTGTGTGAAGTATTTGCCCGTATCTTACTATGCATATTCTCGACGAAATAGTCATTAAAATTTACTAGAAATAATTTAATTGCTTCTGCTAAAGGATGCCTATTATCTTGCCAATAAAACACGTCTGATAAAAATGCCAATGGAGCTTTATTATAGTTATGTCTTCGCCATCTTAAAGCAAAAGTCCAAACCCGGAAGATTGATTCTAAATATTCCTCAAACGAACCCGAACGAAAAAGGATAGCATAAATGTCAAGTGCTGTAGGAATTATGTTGTCTAATAAATCTATGATCATTCGGTATTCAATATCTTTACATGTAGAACTAAATTTTTTTGCAATTTCATTTCTAATTAAACACCATCCACCATAAGCTAATTCAAGGAGCAGATTAATTCGCCACGGTTTTGGCTTTTTTGCCAATTTTTTTTTTTCACCGAACACAGAATGAAACATTTTTTCAAAAAAAAAGTAATATACAATTAAAATATGCTATCGTATGTTCAATGATACATGAAGAGGGCCCAATATAGGAACAAATGAAATAATTTCTGGTGGAATTAAATAATTTTCTTTAAGAATAAAATTTGTGATTGCTTTTCGTACAAACAACTGGCCCGGCCAATCCATTACAATAGGTGCGATCCTGTTAGTCAAGTGCTTAGTATTATGATTAATATTAAAAACTAACTGAAGTGCCTCAATATAGTCCTCTAAGGAATGTAAGTTCTTTTCCTGCAGCCCAATCAAACGTACTATTTTCATTGAGCGCTTCTCTTTCCGTGCATCGATCGCATCATCATAAAAGTGAACCGTAAGTAAATCGATTATATCAAAATTATTAAAATCCATTTGTCCATTTGAAATCCATTGACTTTTACGTATACTATAAGAAACATCAAAGATTCCATGGTAATTATGTATCAAGCGGAAACAAATATTTGAAGCATCAATATTCAAGGGATTGTGGACCGAAATATTATTAAAAATAATTGGGATGGGTGCACAATTTGCTACATGCTTACAAACGCATGTGGCCATATGCTTAACATTTGATAAAGTTGTTGAATTCGGTCTTCTATTTTCATGTATATCGTGATAATCATCCAAATTATAAACAAAAAAGTCATTAAACTTTTTAAAAAAAGAAAAAAAAAATTAATTTATGCATAGATGCAATTTATTAAATTAAAATAAATCATTAACTTTACAACGTACATTATCAAGGAAAAACCTTTGAATTTTTGTAGGATGCTCACGTGTAATTTTTTTTTTATAATCATAAACAGTCCTGTAACATGCCGAAACTCCAATACTATGCATTACATTTATAGCCGAAGTCGATGTGCCAGAGGCAGAAAGAAATAAACCCACTTCTAATTTAAATGTATATGCAAACTTATTTTTCATGCCAGCCATAATGTGACATAAGCCCACAACCGATTTTTTAGCTTCATTTTTATTATAAGCTGATAGGTTGTCTGAAAGTAAGATTTCAGTTAATTGATCAAAAAATCCACATAAGCGAGAATCGGCTTTTTCAATCGTTTGCTGAAAACGAAGTGGGTCCAATTCCAAATCTACATTATTCTTCCGTTGCTTGTATAAAATACTTGAAAGTATTTTAATTTGATCAGAAAATGTTATATTTGTTGGTTCAATATTTTCTTTATTTTGCGCTAAACTTCCGATTTGACTTTCGTATTCTATAGGGGAGACCATCTCTATAATTTCCTGGGTTGAACTCAATTCATTATATTCATTTAAACCAGTAGGTTCCAAATTTTTTTTTTTTTCTTTTTTTTTTTTTCTATTTTCTATTATTTTTTTATTCCGATCACTTTCAACAATATCCAGGTAATGTGCAAAACAGAGTTCTTGACCAATGTTTAAATATTGAAAATGTTGTAAAGTCCCTTTTTCCTTAGCCTTATTATATGCAAGAGGAGTAAGTGTGCGAAACTTTTCTGAATGTCCATCACAATTGTGTATTGAGCAGGGACCAAAATTTTTTTGAGGCATGTATTTTTTTTTTTTTTTATCTTAACCACGGTGAAGCTTGATGCAAAATCTTGACACCAGAAACTGATCACGGTAAAATAGTCTGCAGCGTAACGAAACTTGAACTCACAAAACCAACTGCGGCAAAACTTGAACAAGGTGAAGCTTGATCACGACAAAAATTGGCTATCATGGAACTTGACAAGGCGAAGCTTGATCACAACGAAATCGATTGCAGCAACTTGACCAAACAAAATTTGGTCCCGGCAAAAATTGATACAACACAAAACAGAAATTTTATGAATTTTAAAACAATCGCGCAATTTGATCGATTTTTTTTTTTTAACTTTATATAGAATTTATCTGGGCCAATCACAATTTAAATTTTCAGGATCAGCAGATCACTTCCATGCAGCCAATAATAATAAACTTCAACCATGCTATGTAGAATAATAATGTAATATATATAAATTAGTGATTAACCTAATGTAAAATAATAATGTAGTATAAATTAGTGATTAACTTAATGTAAAATAATAACGTAGTATAAATTAGTTATTAATCTAATATAGAATAATAGTATATAGTTTATATATAATATAAATTGATTAATCTAATAAAGCAATACAAAACATGTAAATTTTATAAAAATTTTAATAATTAAAATTTAAAAATTTTCTATTTTAAAAAAATAGTATAAAAAGACCTGTTGTTCATCCAATTTCTTTGTAAAATGAAATCTTCTTCTTTTTGATTAAATTGCAAACATCTACTATTAACTTTTAACAATTGCAACTTTGATTTAATTGATATTCTACAACATATTCAATTTGTAATTCTAGAAAAAAACCTTATTTTTCTTCATATTTTATAATATATAATAATCAAAATATTAAAGTATTTATTATTCTTAATAGAAGAATTAATTTATTCAATTCTGATATATTTGAAATTGATTTTGAAGATGCACAATACAATCCTACTTTAGAAAGTTTTTATTCATTAAAACCTATAAAAAAATATACTAAAAAGAAGAATAAATTCATAACAAATATTGAAGAATTCAAATAATGACTAAACCAAAATCAAAAAAACAAAAAACAACAAAAGATGATAAAAAAAAATTTGATATACATTCATCTCAATTTTTTTTAACATATTCAAAATATGAATTAACTAAAGAACAATTACTAGAATATCTTATAGAGATTATTAATAAGAAAACTGATGAAAAAGAATATTTTATTAGCAATTATATTATTACTACTGAATCTTATAAAAATGAAACATCTCATTTATATGTATATCTTAAATTAGATAAAAAATTTTGAACAAGAAAAGAAAGTTTTTTTGATATTAAAGTAGAAGAAAAGATTTATCATCCAAATATTCAAGGTGTTCGCTCAGCAAAAAAAGTAGAAAACTATATTTTAAAAGATAGAGATTACATCTCTAAATACAAAATTGATAAATTAACAGTTGCTCAAAGGTCTGGTGATCTTAGTGTAGTGGTTAGGTTGCTGGACCACCATGCAAGAGATCTAGGGTTCAAATCCTACTGTATACAGAATTGAATAATTATCTAGACATCTGTATCTAACTTACAGTAAACTCTGCTCATTTCTGAGGTTGTAACCTTGTAAATCACATTGCACTAATATCAATTGGGTATTGAAAGTGTGACAGGGCATTCAGTGAGGCATAACATTATACGAATAAATCTTGATAGAATCTATGAGCAGGAGACCTGCATAGTAGAAATCCTGAGTTAGGTAAAGTAATACGAATTTCGATATTCATACCAGTTAATATCTGATCTGAGAAAGAAAATCTGTGTATAAAAAGATCAGTGAAATAGATATGAGTAAGTCCTGAGTATAGAAAGATCAATAAAACAGATGCGAGTAAGTCTGTTACATGAGGTCATATGGCAACACCAATTTGGCTTGGCAGCAAACTGGATTTGGGAGGATCTGTCTCATGTGATATCTGGTAGCAAAGCAGACAACACTAAGTAACAGATTTGGAAGGATCTACTTCATATGATATCTGGAGACACAGATGACTAACTTGGTAGAAAACTACAGTAGAAACTAGGTTTGTACGAACATCGAACAAGGGTATATGCAAGCTAGATTGGGATATAGTGTAGCATAGTTAGGTACCACAGCACCCTATTGATTAGGGAGTTGGTGAAGAGATACCTTGAGATAGGGTCTAGGCTCTGAACTATAAAGTTTGTAGACTAATATTAGCTCAGGTATCTTCCTAGAGAAGTAGCATAGAGTTAGGCAAACTATGGTAAAAAAGGATAGAATACGAGTAAGTATCATAGGGCCAGAGAGTTTAAATAGATAATCTTCAAATAGATTTCAGATATAGCAGCTAGTGTAGAACTTTCGAATAGACTACTTAAATTAAACAATCTAAAGTTGTATATATAGCTAGTTGTACTTTCACAATATGTAATATTTACTTACTATCAATACCAATAAAAGTTTCAGCTGATGGCATTTGTATAAAGTAAAAAAAAAAAAAAAAAAAAAAAAAAAAAACAGTTGCTCAAAAAGTTATTGCATGAGAAATCAAAGAAGGAAAATATGTAACAAATTACAAAATCGTGAAAGAATATCCTAAAACTTTTGTTATATATGCAAATAAGTTATTGAAATAGAAACAAATATTTGAAGATAAATATTATAATCACCAGTAGGGGCTTGCAAATTACCTATTTTTGTAGTCCAGCCTGGCCCGTACTTAGTTTTAAAATTTTTTTGTCAGCTCAGCCCAGCCTGCACTTAGTTTTAAAATTTTTTTGCTAGCCCAGCTCAGCCCATATATATATTAATTTTTCTTCAGACTAGCTAAACTCAGCCTAGCTACAAAATTTATTATAAATTTTTAAAAATTTTTAGGCCCACATTGGTCCACAGTTGTAAAATTTTGTTTTAGGCCTAGCCCAGCCTGCAAAAATTTGCAAGCCGAGCCAGGCTGTAGAACCTAATGCAGGCCTCTAATCACCAGAAAAACCCTTTGTTGAATTACATTATGGAGATAAGTATTGTGGTAAATCAACTTATCAAGAACAATTTGATGATAATATAGCTTACAGATTAGATGAAAATAAATAGTTTGATTTTTATAATAGTAGTCTATTCTTATTATAGATAATTTTGATAGTTCTCAATTACTTTATTCTATATTTTTAAGATTATTATTAGGTAATCAAAGAAAATTAGAAATTAAAGGTGGACAAGAATTAAATAGAATTAAACATATAATTATTATAAGTAATATACATTATTCAAAATAGTATAATCAATTATCATATGATTAAGGTCAACTAGAATAGAGAATTAATGCAATTTGGCATTATAAAAAAGATAGTGAAAATAGATTTTCAGAAAGAAAATGTGAATTAAATCCTTATTTAGTTCAATTTTATAGAAAGTATTTAAAAGAATTTAAATATTATGAAAAATTTAAAGAAAATTAGAGTTATTCAATAGATAATTTAGGTGTTTTAAAAAGAATTTTTTATGAAAATTATATTACTATTCCTTATAATATTAATTTGCAAGATGGTGAACTAGATGATGATGATTTATTTACAGAAGAAATTGCTTTATAACTAGCTTTAGAATAAGAACAAGCAAAACAAAATCAACTGATAGTTATTTCAAAAAGAATAAGAGAATCATCATCAGAATTAGAATTATTATCAGAATTAGATAATCAATTAGAAGAAAATAATTATTTTGAATACGAATCTGAATTATCTGCAATTGATAGTGATGATTCTCAAGAAACTAAAGAACTTAAACAAAAAAATATTAAAAAAGGCAAACAAAAAGTAGAATAATATTTGATTTTTTATTATATATTTTTATTTATATTATTTTTTATCGATATAATTTTATCATATAATATCAAATATACATTATAAATTAATAAATTTTTTAATCACATATCATATATATGTGATAATTCTAAATAAAGATTTTCTTTGTTATAAATTTATTTGTTTATCATTGTTGTTATCTATATAAAAATCAAATTTGTTTACATGCATGAAAATTATAATTAACAAAAAAAAGATAATCTTTTTTTCTCTCAATAACAAAAACTTTTTTTACAAAGGTTAATATTATTTTCTTTTTTATATTTAAAAATTTTTTAAAATATGATTAAACAAAATGCTAGCTTAGTTTTTAGCACCCAAACTCAACTACTTTGATGATAATATTATCAAGTTTCTCGTTAAAAACCTTCTCAACCTCTTATTATCACTTAGTTTTTAATCAGTTTTTTACTAGTTTTTTTTGCTAGCTTCTTTTGCTATAGACTTAATGATTTTTTATTTTTTTATTTATTGTTTTAAAATATCAGTTACTAACTATTTTTTTTTCTTTTTTTTTTATAAGGTAATAGAAAATATATCTAATATCATTGATGATATTGATAATATTATCGAACAAAATAACAATCTTCAAAGCTCTTTGATTCAAGTTCATAAAAAAATTAACAAAATTAAAGCTAAAATTAAACCAAAATCAAGTTTAAACAAGATTATTGAGAAGACTAAACCAAATAATTTGAATAATAATCAAAATAAAATTGATATTGAAAGGTTAAATTTATTAATTAAAAGTTGGAAATCTAATCTATTATTATATGAAAATATTAAGAATCTTCATAATGAGTTAAAAAAATATAGGGATAAATACTATAAGTTAAATACTAAGTATAATAATTTAGTTCATAATAAATAATTTTTTTATATTTGTATTTTTTTTATTTATAAGTTTTTTTATAAATTTTTTATTTTTTATTATTTTTTTATAATAAAATATTAAGTTGATAATTTAAATTTGTATAATTTTTATTAATAATTAGTTGTTTATATTTTATTAATTTAAAAAAATAAAAAAAACTATATAAATAACAGCTTTATCAAGTATTTTAACAAATAATAGCTTTAAAAAGATTAGAAAAAGGTAGAAAGATTCACTATTTTAACT